TGGCTGGAGCCCCGCTCTGCGTACACACCCTCAGAGTCCAGAGGGTGCGGACAGAGCTTCTGTGATTCAAATGTCTATCGTTGCTGTTGGTTTATTTTTTCTTTAGACCTACAATCAAATCTTTTGCCAGGTGACCTTTCTTGTACGTTTCTGTTTCGGCAATAACATACAATATTGGGGTGGCAGATATCTTTGGGACTGCATGTTTCTATGTAAAGTAGCACCATAGAGTGCTGAGGTCCAGCCGTCTAGCGTCAGGTGGTGACGGGACGGGACCGTAACTCTGGTGGTTCTGACTCCTAGCAGGGGTCCTCCGTGACACCGTGCGGTCTCCTATGCAGATTTAAAACAATGCAATAGCTGTTTGAAGTGAAGGTTGTTAACTTTGCGTTAGCATGAGGGAATAGTAATTTGAAAAACTAACTCCAAAGAAGGAGTAATCGCTACTGTATTTTATAAGCAATTGGGCTTTAATTTTTGGCTATTTGAAGTTTCCCAGATTTCATGTGTGTGTGTGTTTTGCTGCTAGTTTTTTTGTTTAGGTTTTAAACTTTGCTTTTAAATTTGGGTTTTTGTTTTTATTTATGGCAAAATTGGAGGATATTTTGAGCTAAGCGAGTTTATAATTATTTATTTTTTTAAAGAGAGATCAAAGGAGAACACATATTTTACTATGACCATTTTTTTAATTTAACTTTTTGTTCTTGCTGCTGTTGAGTGAATTAAAATTTAGCTTGTGTCTAGAGTTTCCAGGCAAACTTTTTGAACTGTATAAATCTGGGGAACAGAGAAAATATAGCTAAAGGCTGCTGTGAAGTGGGCTTTTAAACTTTTGGGGGTTATGGACACCTTTGAGAATCTGACGAAAGGCCGTGGACCGTTCCCTCAGGAAGGGCACATGAGCACATACACGGAGTTCTGCACACGGTCTCAGAGAATCCATCACTTGCTGCCTGCCTCCCACTATTACGGGTACTTGGCTTTAGGTATAAAAGCATGTATATGAATACATTTATATGTGTGAATATATAGATATGTACATAAAGGATTTTTCATACAGGTGTATCTTCAACTATGTGCCAGGCATTTTATGTATGTTTTATTTGATGTTTTCACCTCCATCTGAGACAGGTATTATCCCATTTTGTGATTGAAGAAATAGGTTCAAGAAGGTTAAATAACTTGCTCAACATCACACAGCAGCTATTAAGTTGTCAATGTATTGCTTACAAAGAATTTATAAATTTGAAGATATAAATGTTATGCCTTTATAACAAAAATTTTTCTTTCATTATCCAAAAATTATTCAAGATACGTGGTTCTTCATTAGACGTGTTCATTAATATTTTTGGAGAATCTTAAAGGATATTGGACTCCTGAAAACTTTTACTTCATTGCTAAATTTGCAATTTTATTTCATGCATTTTGACTTCTCAGGTTTTGGGTATTTGTTTTAGCTTGCCAAAAGTAGGTGAGAGTTTTTACTTGACGTAAGTGTGAAGCCAAGGTAAGGATGTTCATAACCAGTGCCCAGGTAAGTAAATGCTTCTATTCCCAGATCATTGTGAACCTCATCCACAGGTTCTGTCCACGTTAGAGCTTTTGTCATCTTAGAAGACTTTAAGAAAAATATGATCATTTTGAATAGATGGGTTTTAAACAGTTAATGAAATGTGTCGCATGAATTGGAATTATTGGACACAGAAACATCTCATGTCTTCAGAAATGGAAGAGAATTTAAATGAGTATTTTTTAAGAGACATTTAAAATCAATTATTGGTAATAAACACACCAAGTGTTTAACACAATCCCATAGTGTGCCCATTTTATTGGTGCTGTAGGGCAGGTTGTTTTTGTTTTGTGTTAAACTGGAAGTGCTGGGAAGATGTCGTGTGTGGGGTTTATCCACGTGGGCATCTCACGGAGAGGACTTACGTGGTGCCAAGCCTGCTGGCATAGTCGAAAAATGCTTTGATTAAGTTGGTTTAATCAATAGAAGGCCATTAAAGTGGAAAAATCATCAAAAAAGAATACACATATACCCTAAATATTTGATTTTAACTTAAAGCATGTAAACCTACAGTTGCATGCCAGTCTTGTGCTGTAGATCTAAGCGTGGTCAGCCGACTGGAGACCCACAGGCTCTCTCACGCAAGCCCCACACCATGATCAGTCAGCAACCGTAATTTCCCATTTTTTTTTAAGGTGAAGCAAGAACTGAGACACTTGAAAAGAAATCTCAGTGCAAAGTCTTTTTTG